GTTTTACATTCTTTTGAGGAAACTCTTCAGACGACCCTCTTTTTTAGCAGACGTTCTTATTGCCCTGAGTACAACGTAAATATCCTAGTACGCGCTGTGCACAATCCCTCTCTCTCTGTGTTATTCATAACCAGTATAAGCACTGAATATATAATCTCTCACAGATTACAGCGGTCTGCGTTCTGTATTTTGTGCCCTATGACAATGAGCCTGCCATTTTTCGAAAACCCATTTAAACGTTATCACAAAGCTCGCCTTCAGCAACTTGCCGCGATTATATCTGTCTGATTGTGTTGTGTAATTGGCTAAAATGAGATAACGTACATGCTGAGAAAAGCGTCCAGAGATTGGACATGCACGTACGCTCTATAGGCCGTCATCGATGCGCATTCATGATCTTAGTAAATAGATGCTGTCGAACCATTCTCTGTGCATGCGAAAATACTAGTCCCAGTTCAGCGGTAATTTTTGATCTCTTGATAGAACACGAACCAATTTGCATGTTCAGTACGTGACCTCATTATTCCGTAACAAGCCATCGCCATCATTAGGTTAATTCAATCCAGCGGACGATTTTCACTGATGTACCATTAAATTACTGATTCCCTCTTTCCTAATTTTGACTTACACTGAACAAGTGCAAATGTTTTTGCTTGCAGTCCTCACCCAGGGCTACGAAACCTTTGTTTACCTCTCGACGCTATACTTTGCAGTGGTCACTTGTTCGAAGGAATACTGGTCAAGAGAACCCAAACTTTTCTCTATTTAAAACTCCCCAGTTTAGAGTTCCAGTCTTTTGCGAAGTCAAAATTTTTTTGGTTTAAGAAACTCATCCCCTCACCAAATTTGAGGAATGTAACGTTGGCATACTTCTTGAATTTGCAACTTTCTCAGTGGATACCTGTTGTACTGTTCTGATTACAAAAGCTTTTAGACCCCCTTTAATCCAGAAGAATACCTCTACAGTTTCATTCAAGATCTTTTGTGCGTAGGGACCATTGGTTTATGAACATGGAGACTGACTTTTTCACTAAACTTTTCAATGCTGTCCGTTCTTTGACTTTGCAAACAAAATGATCTACACAGTGTCCTGTGTGTTATCGCTGATCGTATGAGAACTGGATCATTTTATTCTTCAAGAATACGATTTGGCCGGGCTCAAATACATGAAAACGAACTTTAATTCGGAACTCTATTGAGTTGAATCATCAATCCACCGATGTTTACCCTCCAGCCTGCCTGCCCACACAGCTATTCTTGGTGAGCAAATAAATGCGAATCTGACAAAAAGAATGCCAGTTTTCCTGTTGTATTAGTAGTTCCGAAATCAGAAGACTGATCAGTCTAGGCTCTAAAAGTGGTGATAAACAAGAGTTACTTTATCCTGAAGAATGAAATAGTTTCGGAGGTATCTTTCACCGAAATTCAGTCAACCGATTGGCAATTGGAGGGGGATGGGGTTGATACTAAGACCAATCAGTCAGTTAGCGCTTGACTTGATGTCGGCACTGGCGTTCTTCCCTCCCTGAGCTGTTTCAGATACTACCGCTCATCACGCCCACGCGTTTTTTGGTGTTATCGTGGTGGTGCGAGGCCGAAACGCCATCATTTTCGACTTAGGCTTGCGTCATCTGGAAGGCCATGCAGTGTGGCAACTGGGCCATCATTTGATTCGTCACCTAGGTCAAGTGAACAGGCAGACGTTAGTGCTAGACAAACAGTAGCGTAGCCATGTCTGCGTGCACATGTGCGTGTGCGCATTGTGCGTCGGTGCACCTGTGCTGATAGGCAAAAGAGGCACGCATCACACACGAGTCGCACAACATCACGGGGAACAGAACGTACGCACCAATGGGGCACAGGCAAGCCGGCAAGATCCACAGTAGTTCAAGTCGACCTCTCAGTTGGTTGCATACGATGTACGCGTCTCAGCTGTCGCCCGTGAGCAACATCTTAGCTCCCATGCCCTCCAATGTCCCACCGTATCCGTTCTGAAACTACGTCTACACCGGACCACCGCCCCAAGCCATCCGTCCAACGACGATGATAGAATCTGGCGTTACGTGTACAAACGTCATTCCACGCATTGGCGGACAGAACACTGTGAAAATATTACCCAAGAGCAGCGATAGTAGACCATCTGCGAGAGCGATTTCACGTAAAGTAAGTTCTTAGTTTACACATTGTTGATTGTCTTTTTGACTTGAGGGTTCAATGCAATATGCCCCTCACTTCTCGTTCAAACCATTCAGCCCAGCTCTCGGCATTGGGTAGCCTACAAACCAGCAAGGAAGTTGGCCAGTAGGTTCTAGTTTTTTCAACCCTAACCAGCCAATGACGATGACCATCCACCGGACAAAGTCTTTCAGTCTGGTGACGTTTAACAAAACTGCAGCGGCTTTGCGGTCATCAAACATTGGGTGTGTGTGTACTGGTGGTTGACCGTTGGCACTTAGCTCGCAAACGTTTCGTCCCCGGTCGAAGAGACATCGTCAGTGTGCAGTTGAGTGGAGGTGAACCCAGCGCTATCAGGGTTTCGATCATGGGTCTGCAGCTAGCCCGTATATGGACTAGCCCTTCAGGATCAGGGTATCTATGCAGTGCGGTAAGTGAAACTCTGGTCAGTTGGTGACGAGAGTGACGCATTTGAATGCGGCTCTGGTGGCGAACGGCCGCGCAACACGTGCAAACGGTAGCTAGGGCGGAAGTACTTTTGCACTGTTCGAAGTGGGTCACGGTAGTAGAGCTTTTGCGACAAGTCCTCAACGAACCCTGATATTTCGCCCGTGATATCTGCAGTTTATTGATGGTAGACCAAAGTCAGTCTTTGTGAAGTCAAGAACTGCTTTGTGCTGGTCTTCACCCACTTTAGGTAGCCCAACCCGTCTGTCCATTTTGTTTCCCAGTGGGGCAAGACCCTAGATATGTTCTGTCGGATAACCAGAATTGCGTAACAAGATGTCACGGATCTTGTGGCGCGGTTTGGAGAATGGCCCGTCAAGCTTAATGTGGTTCGGGAAAGACCCTACTGCCAGTAATCCCCGTTGTCGTACCATACGCAGGTCAGACCACTGCAGCTAATGACTGGAAGCTGGTCTCGTTCTGACGCGTAGTCAGCATCGAAACAGGTGGGGTTAATTTGGTGATGACAGCTGAACGCTCTTGAGATTTACGCGTGGATGCTCACTGTTGGTGTGAATTTTGTACAGACCGTCTATGGTCACACGCGGGGGGGGGGGGGATCGGAGACCGTCTATGGTCACACGCGGGGGGGTATCGGTGACACTCGCAACTGGGGCAAATCCGTTTTCCTGTGCTGGTTCCATCGACAGTTGAGTTGCGGTTGGAAGTTGGACACTTGACGCTCTGAATGTACAAATCTGACACGTGCCGTGCATGTCCACAAGTATATCCCAAGTATGTGAAATGTCGACACGGTTCCAAAAACCTGGGGATCAGCTAACCGGGAATAAGCTAATATCCGATATCATGCATAAACAAAGTTGGTTGCACTGGAGCATTCTTATCATGCGTGTCTCTTACAAGTGAGTGACAAACAATTGGCTGAAGACGGCCAAATCATTCTTGAAACAGCACGTCAAGAAATAGAAGCACAAAAGTTTGTGTGCACTGAATGACTGCCAGTAGGGGGACCTAAGGCGGTTGATGTGTCATAGGGCGGAGGGGCCACTCCTATGGGTGGCCTCTGGTGAAAGAGGCCTGGTGAGTGGTCTTTTTTCGGCAGAAGACTTGCCTGGTATAAATCCGTTCAGTGCTGGAGGTAGTAGAATTCGGGGGCATTCGCTGAATGAAATAACCGTGGTCTAGTCCCGATTTTCAGCCTGTTTTTGTGTGGCCCTCAAGCAGGATTGTTGACTCGTGATGTGAACAAGTGTAACATACGATTTTCTTGGATAGTTCTTGTTCCTCATACATACGGTACCGGGCTTGGGTTTTACGGATAAAAATGATACGCGAGATGGCTCAGTGGTTAGAGCGCAAATTTACTGACCGGAAGTTCCGTGGTTCGGACCTGACCTCTGCCTCTCGACTTCCCCTGTCTAGGCACCCTGGAAGTGTCTCATCCCTCATGCTTTCTTCGAGTGGCAAGGCAGTTACGCACTGAATGGTAATGGTTCCGACATTTCATACCTTTTCTGTATTGCTCGTTTGGGGTCTCCCTGCCGATATGTCATAAGTTCAGGTGAGATTGTATAGACGTGTGTTCGAGCTCAACAGGGTTGTCGAGGGACGGTGTGCAACACTATCTGCAGTATATTCGACCCTTTGAGAAGGGACAAAAACGATGCGTTCCTTTACTTGTCTATAGCCGCTTAGATTCGACTGCTTGTGCACACCAGATAGAGACCGTGGCACTTACAGGTGGCCCAAAGGAACACGTCAAATTCGTACTCATTTCTTAGTGTCAGCAAAACAGACGTTCGGGCTTTCTTTGGTTTTGCACAGTAATTCCCTGAACGCACTGCTGGCTGAGCGTGGATTCTCGATTCAGCTGTCCACATAGCTACCATGTCCTGTTCGTAGGCATCACACCTAAAAGTTGCCAGCACGTTTGAAACTGTCTGCACGCTATCGATCAGTATCTGGTTGAGATAATGTTCGATATCTGCCCATTGGTAGCTGGTTGTGACTCATCGCGTGATCTCGCGTGTCCGATACCAAGCAGCATCCTACCCACATTCTTTCTTTTGAGTGCCTTTTATCACCGTTTTCTCAGCACGCCCAGCTGAGCGCTTGTTCACATCACCGTTCCATCAGACAACCGATCATCGGAGCTGACCGCAAAGATATTTAATTTATGAAACTCAATATCGGAGCCTTCCAATTTTTAAATCGTTACGAATTCAACAAATACCAGTTACACGACTGGCTAGCAAATTCTCTGACGCTTGCTTCTGTGGCCATAGTACTATAGTCGTAACTCAACTCCATCCTGCTTCCGCTTCTGCGTTTTTCAATTGAGGAAAATTCTTCAGTTGTCAATCGAATGTAAAAAGAAATCGTTTAGCTGTAGCACCCTTTCGGTGCTTAACTGTCATGCCACCAGAAGAAAGCTGGGGTACTGCCAGGTTGCTCAAACCTAGACAGGGAAAGTCAAGATGCAGAGGTCGGGTTCGAATCACGGACCTCCCGGTCAGTAAATTCCCATCCAGGATCCTCTCCCAAGAACTGAACAAGCGATACTCCACGGTTCCTCACACGCTGTTGAGCGGCGATTCAACACACTGTGATATCCACATTTCGACATTGAGGGCAGACGTACTGTTGCTGCAAGTGTTCAGCCGTACCTTACGTACACCTACAAAGGTCCTTTTGCTTTCCTGATACGATAGATACTACTTATAGGGCGGATAAAAACAACGATAAACTACTAGGTGGTGTTCGCGCTGCAGCATCTTTTTACCGATTTCGTCAGTAGATGATCGTTTGGCTCCACAGGTGTTCTTCATCTTTTGTTCGTGCACGACATTGCGCGCAATCGCGCTTTCACCTCATCTTTCATGTGAAGACTTTCAGTATGTTTCGTTTGTGGCAAAAGGTGTGCGTGGAATCTGAGGATCAATAAAAATTACCTCAAAGTTATTCAGAACCATTCCCTTTCGTCTAATTTTTTACGGTTGAATCTGGTCCAGAGAACGTTCCTCACGAGCGAATGCCGCAATGAAAACCAAACTGCGCAAATGGCAGTTGCTATGCCCCCAAGTTGTTCAAACTAATGAATATCATCGGAATAGATATCAGTAACAGCTGCCTAGCCTGTGGTGAGTTCCGACTGACAACAAGCTTTGTGAGAAAGAAGCATTTTTGTCTGACCTTCAACGGATCGCGTAAAATCAGTACAGATCAGCAGTGAGTTCCATTCTCACGTTTGACCTGTGCTATTGACATGACTCTGATTTCGTGACATCTGGATGCCAGTGCTTGGTGGATGACCAAGGTCTTCGTGACTTCTGCTCCTCAACGCGAGCTTTGTCGTCCGGGTGACCGCTACTGAGCGACCATCAGGGAACAGGTGCTGGGTCTCTTCGCAATTTGTCATGTCCCTTCAGACAACAGGAGGTTTGGAACATTAGCCGTCGTAGCTTCCGAATTTCTGGTTTGGAATACGTCAAAAGACGACCATAGAGGGTTCCGAACCAAGTACTAACACAGGTTGGGCGACGTATCCAATTCCTCTGGGATTTTGAGTTTCAAACCTCTACAACTGTTTACATAAGGGAGATTGGATTCCACACACCTGTCGGCCGAACGCGAATCGCCGTGGCACGTTGCCTAGTACTGCACAGTGACCTTGAACGGTAGGTGAGACTAACTTCATCAGCGATCTCTCGTGACTAAGTGACAAACGCCCACACCCCACATCGGTACTAACACAGGTTGGGCGACGTATCCAATTCCTCTGGGATTTTGAGTTTCAAACCTCTACAACTGTTTACATAAGGGAGATTGGATTCCACACACCTGTCGGCCGAACGCGAATCGCCGGCCGTGGCACCCTAGTACTGCACAGTGACCTTGAACGGTAGGTGAGACTAACTTCATCAGCGATCTCTCGTGACTAAGTGACAAACGCCCACACCCCACATCGGACCTGGTTTTGGCTTGACTTGCTGGCCAAGCCACTTGAGTGCCTTCCATCTCAGTAAACGGAGTGAGCGCGCGCATGCTTTACTGAATACATAAGGTCGTCACACCCTACACGGTTGGATAAAAACATGGTGAAAAGGGCGCACCTTTACTGGTTCATTGGACTGAGACAGTGAGATTGCTGATATCCATTTCGAATACCGAAACTCAGATCCTGCACCATGCTCACTTTTACTTTCCCACTCTTCGAGTTCTTTTTCAAATATCTGTTCTCACCGCATATGCGTGCATGTTCGGTTGCCGGGTTAGTGATTGAGGCTGCTCCGCCTGTGGCACGGCAGTGAATCACGCATTTTCTCACGTTTTTTGTGAGAGCTGGGTCAACATCTCACGCAAGCTTATGAGTCGATATCCCGTCGCCGCTTCCTGTCAGGCCCGACAGACGTCGTGCGAACTAACGGGCTTATTGATTTTCGAGGGCACGGCTTTGCACTGCCTCCAGAAAACTACTGTCACTCATCAGCTGCGCGATAGATTCCGACCGAATATCTTCACTGCCCTAGATAAGAAACCTTCCCCAGACGTCCAAAGGCATCCTGTTTGGCATTTTGAATTCGTTCAAAATGGACGTATTTTGAGTGTGTAGCAGCAGGCTAACCCCATCCCTTTTCGGGGACTAAAGAACGTGCCAATCAAGGTGCCACGTAGACTGATCATGATTCACGGAGTGAGCAGGCTACCATTACTTCACTAGCACACGCAGCACGCAGCTGAGAAGGTGTTCACACTTCCGTGATGTGATTGGTCGGCTCGACGACCCAGCATAATTGTCCTGGTTTTTGCATTCAGGACGCACCTCGGTCGCCTGTAACCTACTGGACAAATTTTGACTAGCTGTAATATATCGCTTTTGTTTTGCAGTGTCTAATCCCTCGTGCTGCCTTCGAGGAAGCTGCGCGGCGAAGACTGAGAGACGACCTAATATCTAATAGAGACTGGATGTCATAGTGATTGGAAATATGCTTATGGTCATTTTCGACCTCACCTCCGTTCTAGTGCCAGTGAGATCTGTTCGGGGATCGCCACTCGAGGAGCCAATAATCACGTAACCACGTGATGTGGNTGCCGATGAGTTTTCAGCAACTTTGTGAGTAGTGTATTAGCTCAATAGGTAAGATCCTGATCTACATTAATGGGGATAATAGATCTAAGATTATGTAACACGGTGGACGAGGATGTTTTCCGGATGATCGATGGGACACAAGGATATCCGATCACAACCAGACAAACGTCATTAATTATGCCATCCCACTAACAGAACCAACTGTCAAAGTTGGGTCTTCACACGTGGCAGCGACCACATGTACTGTTTAGTTTAAGTCACGAGTACATGTGAGAAAAGCAGGGAGAAGGATCGTGGGTTTGCAGAATAACAGCACTGTGCACCACAAAGTTGAATTGTGATCATTTTTCCTAGTTCAACCATGCATAAGAAGGGTATAACCATATAGTGGCCGATACAGCCCTCTAAGGGTGAACCCACTGTCGGCCACCTTTGTGCTGAGTCCACCAATACCCACATTACTCCCGTCCTATATGATAACACTGACAATGGTGCACGCCATAGAGCTTCACAAACCGTTTGTTGCATAGTGACCGATATTTTCTCTTGTTTTCACTTGTACTGGCAAGTTTTAACTCCTGGAGTGTTCACACTATATGAAATGGGAGCCGATAATGACCGGTCGCTCGGTCGCATGCAATGTAGGCGAATTTCTTTAACCCAGAGTCTACTTGGGCTACAATATGCAAGGCTGTGATAGGCGACTGGAAAACTCCTAGCTACCGGAGCTTGTTTGCGTCCCAGGAACACTCAGAGGAGTCGGTCTTTTAAGGCCGCGCACCCAACCCGGGTTGGGTTCCACAGTGTGTTACGATCGGAAATTTCCCCAGGACAGATTCCGTTTTGTCCTGGCTCACCATTAGGCCGGTTTTCAAATGGAACCGTAAGGAGGTTTAGATCAGGACTTACGGTCAGAAACGCTACCTCACAGTCATTGTCATTTATTTGTTAAGAGCATGGTCAAAAACATAAAAAGTGTATGCAAGCGACGAATGCAAAAGGGTAACGGGAGAATATGAGAGAAAAGAGAGAAACGTCTCATTCGAATTCAGGCCAACAACAGTTCCAGTCAGATTAGATGAATCCTAAAGTCTGTAAAAATTCTGGTATGGAAACACGCGTCTGAAGTTCGAAGACCGAAGAAAGAGCAAACAATGTTGAATGCTCTTCAAAGCGCGGCAAGCGCTAGCATAGTCAAGACTCGCACATCAAGCACAAAGCGTCCGTCATACTGGGTCCGGTGTGAGAGTAGATGGCAAAAATTTACACTCAACGCCATGTACCACGTATAAAAGTGTCATAAGTGCGCAGAGAGCCCACAATGGTAAGCAAACACAAGTCACTGACTATGACCTTAGGAACTCCCAGTCCAATAACAACCTTGGGGTGTTAAGGAAAGCAGATCTCTCGATAAGAGATGATCATCGGTTGGTGGATCAGAAAGTCGACATCACAACCGATTGCACGAATGGCTGGTGAGGGAATATTCATCAGCAACATACTTCTGTTTCTTCTCCTTCCACACAGTCACTCTGCACCACCCGAGAATATATTGTCGTCTGTTACAGTAGCTCGACGCTCCGGAACAGCGATTAGATCAGGTTTGACGAAGGACGTCGACGTAGGTGTTCTCAACTCGTCGAGGACGGTGTATCCCAGTTGACGAAGACGTTTTCGAGTTCCCTTGCAACTCGCTCATGACGAGCACACCTGGTGTCGTGTGTGAGTTCGACTTCTATCAGTGCCCGTAATATACTGGCCGAAACTCATCTCATCTCCTTCGTTAGTCGTGAGGTTATGATGGAAGAATTTGGTGGCCCTACAATTGATTATCATGCGGGGGGAGCTGTACAACGAAAGATTGGGCAGACGAACGCTAACAGTGAGACGGGGGGCGACCGAGACTGCTCTAATCATGATGGGGTTTTAGGAGAAGACCTGATGTTTTTCATCTGTCTCCTTACAACAAGAGGATCGGTACACAATGCATACTACTGAATACAACAACCCAGTGTGGATGTTGGCGGGCCTTTATTCAACTCGTAATTGACGTCTATAGGAGTACATGTTTATCCCACCTTCAAGCACACTGGATTCAAAGTAAGATCAATCCACAGTCCTAACTCCTTATTGCAGTTGTTTACTTTCTATTTCAGCTTGAAAAGATCGAGAAGGCGGACATTTTGGAGCGTGCCGTCGGGTTTATCAGGGAGGCGGTCGTAGGCAGTAAGTTGTTTTACCTTTTCCAGATCTTAAAACACAAAGTGCTGAGCATATCACAAGCTGATGGGCTTAGTTGTAGTCCTTCAGGAGGAGCTCCTTGTCGTATCGTGGGTGTCTATCTATTGGTCAGGCCGGAACTGAGCCCGCCAGACCACGCGATAAGGGGAAGACGGAGAACTCGGGACACGGTTGTACTGTCAGGGCTTCTGTGCAGAATGGCTAAATAGCCTATTAAGGCCATTCGCTTGTTCGTTCTGTCCAGCCGGTGGCGACGTTCCTGCCTTGAACTACTTCACACCCACTCTGTTGGTCGCATGCTGCTCAACCGTGTTTGGTGAGCTCCACCTGCCATCCAGAACGTGTGGTACCGTTGATGACCTTGAGACACGTACTTCTCTGCACGTGTACTTTTCGTGTCTGGACGCATCCTGATACCACCGAAGGAGGCGACTTTCCTGCAACACAATTTGCCATAATCTGAGATTGGGCGCATAGTTTCTCTTAAGATGTCTGACTGCAAGGAGAATCAGGCAACCACCGTGGTGGTCTTTTGGGTAGTTTAATTTGCCATTAGCACAGCCATGTGATCGTTTTTTCTACCTAAGATCGATTTTCGAACGTTTATATCCCTAAATGACGTATCCCTAATTTATCTCCTTGGTTTGCTTCATTAATACTGTCAGAATTTTGCTGGTATTTAATATTTTGCGGCAAATACAGTCAACCACGACCAAGTTTATTACAGATAAATGTGGCAACCGCCCTCCTAACTTCACACACGAGACTTCAATGAGCCAAGAATGGAAAGAGGCAGGGCTGTTCTTCGATTATGGTGACAAAGCTCCCAGTCTTGGTTGGTCTAGGGGCCTCTATCTTTGTGTTGTACCCCGAAATGATTCCATGGTTAGGGCGCCGGCTTACGGATCGGAAGGTTCGTGGTTCAAACCCAACCTCAGAAGCTCGACTAATTCTATCTTCTAGGCTTGGACAATCTTGCGTGTGACATTCCATCATGCCGCCTTCGGTACGATACGTCTTAATTGTGTGATGGGTTTTCTGGATCCCTGGGACTTGCAGAAAACAGATTTGGCTGAGTTGAGAACAAGAAAAGTACTGAAAGAACATGACTTGCTAGGTTGCTGAGATCTGTTCGATAGGTCACGACTGGTTCCGGCCTTCTTCGGGCACATCAGTTAGGTGCAGTCCATGAGTTTTGGTCAACTTGAACCCAGATTTGTCGAAATTCGCGACCAGTTTTCACGGAGAGACTCAACTGAATTACATCTGAACCTCTCGTTTATGATATTCTTGAGCAACCTTTTGAGTAGTGTTCCGTCAAGAAATCAAACTGCCTTTGTGCGGCACATTCAGTTGAGCAGTGTGATAAATTATTCAGTTGAGTACCGCGTTACAACCACATTGGTGTGTAAATGAGTGTTTCACGAACAAAAAATGGTCCATGTGTATCGTCTTTTCGATGCGACACTGTCACGCAGCTCGAAGGGAACACACTGCCGAAGCCTAGACGTGATGAGGTTCAAAACGCGGGCCTTTCGAACACAGGCTTCCTGTCAGCCTCTCGACCGTGTCCCAAATTTATGGCTCGGTTATCGGTTCTTCAGCGTTGTCATGATTGCTTGTTGGCAGTAGTTGGCATTTGGATTGTAAACGTTCCACCACCGATCGGGGCCATCTTGTCAGTGAGGCCAGGCCCTTGAACACCGCGGTGTAACTAACACGGCTTTCTTCAGACCATTCGAGCCTTTTTCCAAGCGAACAAGGTCACGCGGCGGCTACATCTTGCCCTGTAATGAGTTAATACGTGGTATGACCTCCAACGCAAAGGTGCAAATAGGCATGATGATGGCAAGGAGCACAGAGCAATCAATTAGAACGCGTATAAAAGACCCTCTTGCGTAGAGTTCAATTTAGAGGACGCGACCAAATAGCGTCGGCTGCTTTTTCGATTAGCATGGATGACATATTCGGTCCTATCGCCGGCACAGTTTTTTTGCGCCCGTATGCAGAACGGCTTGTCGTAGTGATGGCGACTTGTGTGAATTCAGAACTGACTGAGTTTGTTCAGGCCACCCAGCAGTGAGGCCTTATCTGTGACCCCAGTGTGCACTACGTGCGACAGGGGCAGGTGTACACAATCGAGGAAGCTCAACAGGCCCGCCCACACGGGCAGGGCTTGGTGTTTTTTGCCGACCACCCAGTAAATCCAATCAGCTCATCGCTTTGATCTTCGCCGCCGCTGTAAAAGCGTTGGATTGAGTTGGTCTACTATGAACGAAAGTTGTAGGATAGTTGACCTAAGGCTGTGGCAGAGCACGTCGTGTCATACCATACAAGATTGCGTTGAGATCACTGAATCTGGCGATGTAACAATCTTTTGAGGTCTAGCTGCCATGCACCCGGAGGCAGCGCAGGGGCTGACACACCTCCGGGTTGCCCAATCCTAGCCAAGAGTACTTGTCGAGACGCAGAGGTCACGTTCGAATCACGAGCCTCAAGGTCACTGTGCTCGCTCCTTATCCACTGAGTCATCTCGCTAGATATTCGCATCCCATTGCATGCCTTCATATGCCCCAAGGTCTCCGTAATTTCAGACTACTAAATCAGAAAAAGTTTTGAAAATACCAGGACTAATGTGAACCGCCCACGCACATTTCCTCGGGGGAGTGGTGTACATTTTTGCGTCGATAGAACTTTTGTTTACACCGTTGCAGTGCGTTTGGAACAGATCAGCGTTCCAAAGGATCCGTCAGTCCATCATGAATGGACACTCAGCTAAATTGATGTTCAGGTACGAAATTACTTGTATCAAATTCCGGGGACTGCGCCCGCCCGATCAGCTCCAAACTGTATTAGAATTTAACCTAGTCGTGCCCTTCTCCTAGCAATCTGACAGATTGGTGCTCCGTTCAGTTTTTGGGGATGTTATTCACGGGAGTTTCGATCTTATTCGCTGCCGTGATAGGATAGCGAAGTATACCGGTTCTTTTTGTGATTCCAGACACTGATCAATCTCGGCGGTCCGCGGGTGTGTCCAAATCCGCACCGTCCACAGACGTGACCAGAATGTTCCTCCACGGGTTTTTCACTTGTGAATCAGACATCCTACAGATTTGTACCAATCTCCTGAACAGTGTTCAGTGCAACGGTTCTCAACCCCTACTGGCCGAAATCTTTTCCAAAATGCTAGCTAAGTTGACAAACAGAAGCCCAGAAGCACTGGTTAGCTTCGCTGAATCGCCCGCGAGTCTTGTGTGTTTTATCCCACCCATAACTCTAACAAACAGTCTCTCTATTAGCTCACCACCGTCTACAGATTCCGCGCCTGGGATAAGCCCTCAACCATTGACTCCTGATGGTGGTCTGGCAATGCATTGGAGCACTTCTCCAACTATTAATACAGCTGAACGTTCCTGTCAGTCACCGATGCCCAATGATTGGTCTTTAAACTCCATGGAACGTGTTCAAAGGACTGGATCGCCGCCGCAACATGCTAGATTTCGGTGTCCATGGTGAAGTGGACTGACCATTAACCGCGCTTGTCGAACGGCCCAATCAAGAACACCCGTTTCGTTTGTACGGACTCTCCAGGTTATTACAACCCGTGGGCTATCGATAAATCGATCTTTTTATCCTCATGGTATCGTTCACCTGTTTGGCCGTGCCTTCGCTTAGGTAATGTGACTTGCTTCTCAGTGACATGGTGTGAGGGGGGTTAGTTGACGAGATCTTTATACTCCGTCAGGTGTTAGAACAGAGCCACACGTCCTTTAGTGCTCCTGGATTTCCGAGACATATTCGACTCGGTTGGTCGGTCCGTTCGCAGTGACATGCTTACCCACCAAGGAATGCCCCGGAAGTTTGTGAACATACTACGTTATTTGTATTCTCAAACTTCCAGACGTATACGGGGAGCTCTCTAAAACCTTCCGTACACAAAGTGTCGTGTCCGTCATGGATATCCACTCTCTGCATTCCTACTTAATTTCGTGATCGGGGGATAATAAGAGGAACGCTGGAGGGTATCCAAAATCCTGGTGTTCAAATAGCCTGTGAAGAC